GACATTTACAGAACATTTCACCTCAAAGCTGCAGAACATACATTCTCAAGTGCACGTGGGACATTCTCAAAGACAGACCACATGTTAGGACACAAAACAAGTCTTTACAATTTCAAGAAGACTGAAATCATATCAAGCATCTTCTCAGACACTTACACCATGGAATACTATGCAGCTGTAAAAACGAAGGATCTCTTACCCTCTGAGACAGCATGGTGGGGCCTGGAGAGTATTATGCTAAGTGAAATAAGCCATCTGAGAAAGACAAGTATCACATAATGTTACTCATACGTGGAATCTAATGAACAAAATAAATCGATAAACAACATAGATCCAGAGACACAGAAACATGGAACAGACTGTTGAAACTCAGGGGGAACTCAAGGGTGTGTGGGTGTGTGGGGAGAGATTAACCTAAGAACTTATATGCATATGTGCATAACCCATGGACACAGACAATAGTGGGGTGAAGGCCTGGAAGGTGGGGGGATACAGTGGAGGGGATCAATGGGGGGAAAAGGGGACATTTGTAATACTTTCAACAATAAAGATAAATTAAAGCATAAACAAACAAAAAAATCCAACAACAACAAAAAAACATGTTCCTGGATTTATAACATGAGCTTCATTTGCTCTAGAAAAGTTGGTAGCAGGAATCTTTGCTGGACTGCCTTTTCTCTCCACCCCTCAGCCCCCTAAACGAGAAATCGCTTTAGTGACCCAAACAGCTTGGAAACTGGCAACATCATGGTGATGGTGTTGCTACAGCCCAAGCTTTTATGAAATCTTCACTTATACCTGGACTCCAACTTCATCGTCCAGGTCAACGTGCTGCCTTTAATTCCCTCTGGCCTTCTGTTTACTACACGTTCTTTGCTGGATATTAGTGCAACGTTAAGAACTATCACGAGCTGTGCTTATGTCAGTTTTTCTGTATTTTACATAGTTCAGAAACAAAATCCAAACAAATCTTGCTTATTAAAAAATGATAATAACTAGTTGGAGAAAAAAACAAGGAGGAAGTATAATACAGTACTAGCTAACATGTTAGACTGCAGGGTGACGCGTCGAAGTTCCCCTGTATGGTGCACAGGGAGGGCAAAGCTACTGACCAACTTAAGACTTTGTGTTAAATACAAAGAAAAATGGAAGGGTAACCACTAAATGAGCAGAAACAGACTTGTAATTCCGTGGAAGAGAACATAAAGCATAGAAAGCAAAGTAAGTTGAAAGCACAATGTAAGAAGAAAAAAAAAATAATGTAAATGGACAAAAGAAGAAACTAGCAGAAGAAATTCCAAAAGCATATAAAAAGAGAACCGGTTATATGTACATTTATCTACATTATAATGATAAACTGCAGTTTATCACATTGTTACAAAGTTGAAAAGAGAAGTCACAAATCAGGGGAAGATATCTGCACCGCAGATAATCCATTCAGTATTAATATCCTGAATTAAAAAATTTCTATAAATAAGAAATATGCAAACAGCGTATTAGAAATGGTCAAACAAGTTATTCACCAAAGGGGGTACTGGAATGGCTGGTAAACATGTGAGAAAATACTAGATTTCACCAGGAAAATGTGAATTGAAACTACATTGAGATACCATTTCACCCCCTTCATTCTGATTGATTCTTCTGTGGAGATAGTGTTGAATAACAACTGCCCTAGAGAAACTCACCTGGGTGCACAAGGTGATGGAAAAAAAAAAGGAAATAATTGTTCATCAACTAAAGAACAGGTATAAAATTGTCATTGGATATGTAGCCATGAAAATGAACTTGAACTACATACAACAAACATGAACGGATCCCGCTGAAGTAAAAGCAGTTAGCTGCCGAACACCACACAAGCACGGCATCACTTCTATAAAAGCATGCACAACAAAACCATATTTGAAGGCGAAATGTCATATAACTATGAAGAGACACATGGGTACACCAGAAGGAAAGCGGATCCAAATGGGGAAGGACCTTCAACAGCAGCAGCTGTTTCACTTAGCTGGGCAGGGGATACACAAGTGTTCATTGTCATTTTCACAACTTTGTGTGTTGGAAAAACTGTTATAAATTTAAAGAGTGAAAAAGCACAAAATGAAGACAATTCTCCTCAGAATTTTACTACGAAATAGCAGAGTTGAGGGAGGATTTTTAGGAAAGAAATATGCTCCTGATATTCTTTTTTTTAAATGCTCACCTGAGGACATTTTTTCCATTGTTTTTCAGAGAGAGTAGAAGGGAAGAAAGAGAAACATTGATATGAGATACATCGATTGGCTGCCTCCTGCACACATCCCCACTAGAGCCAGGGACCCAGCCTGCAACTGAGGTATGTGACCTTGGCTGGAATCGAACCTGGGACCCTTCAGTCTGTGGGCCAACGCTCTAACCACTGAGCCAAACCGGCTAGGGCATGCTCCTGATATTCTTAGCCAAACATCCCGCTTCCTTGCTTCCACCCACAGACAAGGCCTTCCCTTCACAGCACCAGAGGCCCCGCATTTCCCTGACAGCTCAAAAATAAAGGGAGAGCAGAACTCCCCCTCCTTGAGTCCTTGAATTGGGCTGTACATAGTGACTTCTGGGGGCGGGGGTGGAGGGCAGAGGGAAGAGTAACTTTACTGTGGAGAAATGACAAACACAACTTCGGAGAGGTGACCAAGGTCAACATCAAACCAAGTCATAAATCACGTCGACAGTACATACACTCGCTACGATGTAAGGGAAATGGCACTTTACTCTGATCTTCCTTCCCTAAACCAGTAACTCGTCTAATCATGAGAAAAAACAGACAAATTCCAGTAGAGGGCCTCGGACAACATCCCTGACCAGTGACACGGTCCAGATCCTCACAAACAAGAGAAGGATGACAAAATGGCACAGTCAAGGGGAGCCTGGGGACACATGACAATTAGATGTAACGCGGTGTCCTAGATGGGATCCTGGAACAGAAGATGGATACCAGGCCTAGATTCTTCCTCTGAAATACCCTGGGCTCCTCGGGAGGTACAGAATCTCTGATATTTAGTCTTATAAAAACTGCTACAGAGAGTGGCCATCAAGCACCTACCGGACAAGTTTTTTTCTTCCCCATAGTGCACATCCACGACTATAATAATATAAATTAATAAAACCTTTTAAGAGAGAAAAAATGCTTGCCCCAAGAGGTTGGTAAAGATTTCCCAAAAGAGGCGATGCCACATGAGCCACGTCAGGCCCTCTGGATACAAGAGAGCAGGGACGTGAGGATGTGAGCGGTGGTTTAGATCTGAGGCAAGGAAGGGTGGGAGGCAGTTAAAGAAGAGGCAGGGGCACAAGAGGAGACTTAAGCCACGCCACGCCCTGACCTCCTCCCGCACAGCGGACCACTGACAAATTTTAAACAGGGCAAGGATATGATGAGAACGATGATCGAAGTTAGTGTTTAGAAAAGTTATTCTGATAAGAGTTCAGATTGAAAGACGGCTGGGTGGCTCAGTTGGTTGGAGCATTGTCCTGTGCACCAAAAAAGGTTGTGGGTTAGATCCCCGGTGCAGGTGCATGCAGGAGGCAACCAACTGATGTTTCTCTCCCTCCATTCCTCTGTCTCTAAAGTCAATAAGCATATCCTTGGGTGAGGAGAAGAAGGAAGGAAGGAAGGAAGGAAGGGAGG